AAGGAGAGAGATACCTATAGTAACTGAATTATTGTGGGATAATTGTAGCAATGAGTACGTTACCCCCAAGGGATGAAACTTCTATCAAAGATCACTCGCCCTGGATAATTCTCTCTGGCTGTCTTGAGGTCATGAGAGGCGAACAGAGAGGAGGAGAAGACGAAACCGAGCACATTGTGTTGTTGGCTAAATCCGATTAGGGTAACTCGACCCTGAAAGTTTGTCCGTGGCTTCGTAATTTGTTGTCACTCAAGAACAACAAAACCGTCGCCCACGGACCGTATCCTAAAGCCCTTATCGAGGGTTTTGCAGGTCCCCAAACTCATCACCAGCTTCTATGGACTTCAGAGGACATTTTATCACCATTTCCAGTGACGGACTTAGCTCGGACTGTAATCCCTCTCCTAAACCTGTGAGATTGGTTTGGGTTTTGGAAAGGATGAAGAAAGAGGCGAAGAGGGGAATGTACTTGAAATGTTATTTTTTTTTTAAAAAAAAATTGCTGCAAGTGGGACGTGCACAGGAAATAATGATGTTGTTGTGGGGTACCATCACAATCGAAGAGGACTAGCTTTGGTTCAGGTTCCTAGCCTTTCTTACAGGATTCTGGTCCTTCCATGGAGGCTTTGCAGGGGTGTGGGGGGGAGGCATTTGGGATGAAGGAAGGAGCAAAAGACATCCTTCTCCTCAGCCCACCCTATGCTGCTCTAAGTCTTTCACTGCTGCCCTACATATTGTTAGAGGGCTCAGCCTCCAGTCTGCCTTTTTGTAGCTCTGATGGTGTGATTTCTGAGATCTGCAACTGCTTACAGTATTGTGTGAAATTTCTTGACATTGTTCCCAAAGCCCCAATGATGATGGGGAACCACTGAAGTGGGTTTCTTCCAGAGGCGAGATGTCTCAATGGCCAGGTCTCTGAACTTTGTTAGTTTTTTCAATTCTTTATTTTTGACTCTGGCATCTCCTGGAATTGCAAGGTCAATGATCCGGTCATTTCTTCATTCCATTACGACTACGTCTGGCGTGTTGTGTTCAAGGTGGCTGTTTGGATCCAGAAATCCCACAAGATCTTGACTTCCTCATTCTCTGACACCTTCTCTCCCTGATCTTCCCATGGGTTTTTGGAGGCTGGCAAGCTGTATTTTTTGCATAGTGATCAGTGTCACTCTATCTACTCTACTTTATTCGTCATTTTTTCCATCAACAATGTATGCCATAGAGGGGAAATAAGATCAGTGCCACTCTATCATGTTTGGCTGGTTCTACCTTTCCATTCAGTTCGTCTTCTGGCCACAGCCTGGCTGCAGAGGGAAGTTCTTATCATGGCTGGTGGGGTGTACACTATTTCCTCTGTAGCTGAGCTCCTAAGAGGCATTTAAATTCTTTTAATTCAGTGTTTATTTTTAACATGACAGCTGATCACATTGTGTTTGAGTACTGTCTTGTGACATCATGTTTTCTTGGCTCTACCTGTTTTTCATGGAACTTGTGAGCTGCCTGAGGTTTCATAAGGAAAGAATCCTAAGAGGGTTCACATGAGATTTGCATAACTTGCTGTGTCTAATTGCATCTTAGCTGTGTGCTCAGTCCCATGCTTGAGTGCACCACCAACATGCACATTAAGACGTCGCCAGTTAACCACAAGTCGCTGCGGTAAGTTACCCAAATTCCATCCCATGAAGACAAATAATTAAATCTGAAAGTAAGTAAATTAGTAAGGAGCGAAGTGAGAACAGGTTGTAACCTCATGGTATGCTCCGTCTTCTAGGGTTACCAGTATAAACTGGTAGGGAGTTGAGCAACCCACCGCCTTGACTTGGCCTCCCTCAGCTGACAACCGAATGCTCCACAGTCCAGCTTTAGATTAATTTCTTAATCCTGTGCCATCTGCTAAACCTCTAGTTCCAGCGATGGGCCACTTCTAAAACTCCAGGGACGGGACACACCTCCGACCCCTCACTCCTGGTGACCCCTGAGTGCCTCTCCTCCAAACACACACTCCATATATATATATATATATAAAATTGTTGGAAAAATTCTTCATGTCCTCTAGTACCATTTTTTAAAAAAGAAATGATTTTTTTTAGAAATTGAGAAGATGTGAGAGGGCAGATGATTCGGGGTGGTGGTGGCGGTGGCTAAATAGGGCCCAGTTGTCCTACCAAACTTCTGAAAGGCACAAGAGCATTTTTTTTAAAAAAAAGAAATTGATCAGCGTGCTGGCTGATCAATGAAGTCCTTAGGCTCCATGTTCTCTCTTTCTGGGTGTCGTCTCAGTTGCTAAGCTTGGCGACCATCAAAGCATATCTCTACCTATGGTGACCCTTTCCAGCATTTTCTAGGCAGAGAGTACTCAGAAGTGGTTGGTTAACCCTTTGCTTCCTCTAGGGAGCAACCATGGGACTGTCCAGCTGGCCCAAGGCTACCCAGGCTGGCTCTTCACCCAGGAGGTGCAGTGCGGGAATCGAACTCCCAACCGTCTGGCTCCGTCAGGAGGCGCGGTGCGGGAATCGAACTCCCAACCCTCTGGCTCCGTGGCCAGATCTCTAACTCACGGAATTCTCTAGTTCTACTCATCTGTAGTTTAGCCCACCTTTTCACCAATAGCAATGGAAAAGTATACTGTTTTAGGAAAGCTGTGCTTGGACTGCGTTACGTCTACACTACAGAAAGGTTAGCTCCCAACACAAGACTTCCTCTCTTTGGCATTTAAACGAACCCCAAAGTTCCTTCTCAAGATGACTTTGCTCCCGTGTTCTCTGTTGTCCTCCTGAGAACCTAAGAAGAGCCCTGTGCTGGATCAGGCCAAGGGCCCCTCTAGTCCGGCTTCCTGGATCTCACAGTAGCTCCACCAGATGCCTCTGGGAGCACATGAAAGACCACGAGATCCCTGTCTCCTGATTCCCTTCCCCTGCATCGGGCATTTTGAGATACCTTCCTTTTAAGCCTGTAGTTTATTCCTCCCCATCATGGCTTGTCACCTGCGATGTACTTTTTCCTCTAAGGATCTGTCCAATCCCCTTTCAAGGCCAGGTACCATCACCACATCCTGTGGCAAGGAGTTCCACAGACTAACCATACGCTGGATCAAGATGTCCCCTGGTTCTGGTTTTGGGTGAGAGGGAAAAGAGCTTCCCTCTGTCCACTTCATCCATCCCCTGCAGAATTGTATACGTCTCAATCATGGCAGCTCACATATTCTTGCTACAGTTCCCTGTGTTTCTCTAAGATTCTTCTTGTTTTAACATACAAACTTCAAAGTGCCTGCAAGTCTAGGCAGCCCCCCAGTTTTCTAGAAGATGACCCCTTCTTCCACTTCCAAGTTAGGAGGTACTTGACAATCCACATTTGCTATTAGAGGGAAGGATAGTGACTGTACTCTGACTGGGCGATGCCACCCCATATAGGTCCCACTGATCCTTATTTTCTGTTTTTAGTAGTTACTTGCACCACCGTCCCATACCCATCTGTGCTCCACCCTCATTTTTCTCCTTAGAAGAATCCCCTCCATTTGCTCTTTTCTCCCAGGGGAAGCCAGGGAAAAGGAAAAAAACGCTACCTCTAGGCAAGCATAACATGTAATTGTCTTTAGGTTTGCAACAGAAGCTTGGATTCCCAGCAGCTGGGTCAGGAAGCGCTGCATACTCTAACATTCTGCAAATGCTCCGGGTTGCTTCTAGTTGGGCTGACACTCAAGAAATGCCACGGGGTTGGCATTTGGACTGCTAGTCAAGTGCATCAACCAAAGCTCTTTCCCATGGCTTGTCCATATGAACAGAAACTGCATGGGAGTACTGTGAGTGGAGGGCTCCTTATCACCTTAACGAGAAGGCATCATCATCCGGTTAGGGCGGAGCTTCGTGGCACAGGATTTAAACTGCAGTACTGCAGTCAAAACTCTGTTCATGACCCAGGTTCCATTCCCGATAACCGGCTCGAGGGTGACTCAGACTTCCATCCTTCCGGGGTTGGTAAATTGAGTACCCAGCTCCTGGGGGGGGGGCATTATATAGCCTGCCTAATTAAATTGTAAACTGCCATCCTGTTAGGGCGGAGCTTCGTGGCGCAGGATTTAAACTGCAGTACTGCAGTCAAAACTCTGTTCATGACCCAGGTTCCATTCCCGATAACCGGCTCGAGGGTGACTCAGACTTCCATCCTTCCGGGGTTGGTAAATTGAGTACCCAGCTCCTGGGGGGGGGGCATTATATAGCCTGCCTAATTAAATTGTAAACTGCCCAGAAAGTGCTTTAAGTGTGATGGGGTGGTCTATAAGCAGCACCCTTTTTGCTTTAAAAAAAAATTTGTTTAAGCAAGCCATATTCAAGGAACCGAGAATGTTTTCACTGTTTCGTAACACAGAACGAGCTGTAGGTATGGATCAGACCGGTTCTTCCACTTAAATATGGTGCTATAGCTTATGTCTTTTTATACCTTCACTGGAACCAAGAGGGACAGTTCATGGACAACATCCATAAGAACCGTGACCTAAAGCATCAGTGCATCCAATGCTGTGGGGCAGACTCCATTCACTCCATGAGAACTTGGGCAGAAACCCTTCTTGGTGGACCAGGGGCTCTTACACAGCCAACAGCCATGGGGATAAGGATTGGGGAGGGGGCGATAGCCTGGTTCGGTAAGGTCCATATAGAGAGCCACCTATCCTTTTCAGTGCTGCTTCTGCTTGTCTCTTTTTAAATCATCAAGTCGGTCCCAAGATAGAAAGCCAATTCAAAAGAGGGAAGTCCGTCTCAACGTCTCATATATTCAACCAAGGAAGAAATAAAGACAAGAAAGATAGGCTGGAAAAAGTCAGATTATTGTGCCTGCCTTTCCTGAACAGCAATACCTAAGCCACCAGCGCCTAGTTCATGCATATGCTTCTGGAATGTTCTAAAAGAGAAGGTAGAACCTTGGAGAGTAAATGGTTAGGGTCCACGACACAAGAGACGCTGTCGGACAACAGGTGACGCTCCCTGCCCACCCCTCTGAGCAGTTACCTGTGCTAGACCTTGCTTATCCAGTGTTTCCCACAGTTCTTCAATAGGGGCGGTTAGCATCCTTTGGCCTTTTCAGTTGCACCTTCAGCCTCTTCATGCCAATCTGGAAACCATTCATAGCCTGGATGGCCGCTTGTGCACTAGCGGGATTGTCAAAGCTCACAAAGCCTGTCAAGACACAAGGCAAAGTGCAGGATTTAACCAGCTGAAGGCGGGTTACTGGATCATTCCCCTCCTCCCCACCACCACCACCACCAGATCACTTCAGGTATGAACATGGAGAGGGGAGCAGAAGCGCCGGTGGAGAAGAAAGCTGCCCGATGGAGCTGGAGGCAGACCTTTCCAGCAGCAGCTCCAACGTCATGCTGGACAGGATGGGAAATGGTGTGGACAGAACGGGTCAAAAGCTGACCTCGGGTGAGTCTGGATTGAGAGGTGAAATGGAAAGCAAGCAATGGGAAGTTGGATGCAAGCAAAGGAACCAATAAAGGATCAAAGTGCCATGGGTCATTAGATTCTGGAATTTGTAGGAAAGGGCAGCCTCCGTTGCATAGGGTTAGATCCTATGCAATGGTGATTCTTGTATTGGAAATCAGACAGGAAGGAGACGGGAGAAAATGTTTGCATTGAATAAAGGGGTGCACTTCTCATGGACTGCAGGAGCAATTAGATCTCCAGAGGTTCAAGAGAAAATTTGACAGCCATTTATCAGATCTGCTTTGGATTCCTGCCTTGAGCAAGGGGTTGGACTTGAGCAAGGGGTTGGCCCCTTTCAACTCCATTATTCTAAGAGTCTATGATTCACACCAGCATGTTCAGCATGCCAGTTGTCCAGGGTGCATGTGCCTTGTAGCCAATAAATGAAGGTTTTGGTTAGAGCAGTAGTTCCCAACCTTGCGTTCCCAGATGTTCTTGGACTAGAACTCCCAGAAGCCTTCACCACTAGTTGTACTGCCCGGGGTTATGGCACCCCCACAGCAGTCCAAGAACATCTGGGGACTTAAGGCTGGGAACAAAAAACTGTTGGTCATTGCACTGAGTGCTCAGGAACTGTATTTGGTTATGAAATGGTGGCAAGGAACAAGTGGTCCATCAAGTGAAAGATTAGATGGACATTGCTGAGATCTTGGGGTCTATAATACGTCTCAGCCATGGTGGATTCACAGAGGTGGTAACTCTGTCTTTCAGCCATGTATCTTCACCTGCATTTCCAATGGGACGAATTGTGATTTACCATATTTTTCCATGTATAAGACTATACTTTTGTCTAAATTCTTTAGACTAAAATTTGAGGGTTGTCTTATACATGGAAATAAGCTGAGGCGAGAACAAACACAAGTGGAGGGGACAGCAGGGATCAAAGTGGTCCTGCAGGGCTTTGATCCCTGCTTTTCTCTCCACTTGCTAACCCGTAGCAAAAGGAAAGCAGGGATCAAAGCGCTGCAGGATGGCTTTGATCTCTGCTTTCCCCTCTGCTTACTAAGTCCAATGGGGCTTAGCAAAAGGAGGGGGGAAAGGTTCAATGCAATCCCGTGGCTGTATAAAGGGAAAAGGGATCAAAATGATCGTGCAGTGGCAGGATTGCTTTGATCCTTTCCCCCCTCCTTTTGTTAAGCCCTGCGGGGCTTAGCATGAAGGGAGAAAGCAGGGATCAAAGCGATCCTGCAGTGCTTTGATCCCTTCCCCCTGCACTTGCTAAGCCCCACTTAGATTTCTTAATTTGGGGTTAGAAAAGTGGTGGGGCGTCTTATACAGTACTGACAAGAGTGCCCAACCTTCTGTTCATCAGGTGATTCAAGCAACCACTATGGGCAGAGGCAGTTGCACACAATACAGTGGTCCTACACAAAGATGATCTCGACAGAGAGAACATGTTCCCTGTGCAAAGCAGCTTTGTAGGCATCTGGAGGATCCTTCTGTTTTTTTTTTTCTGGACAAAGTTTCAGGTGGTTTATCATGAAGAGGCTTGAACAAGATGACCCAAGACAGCAGTAAGATCCAGGAACTGTAGGCTTGTTGGGTGGCCAGCCACCATGGGGAGCGACACCTCTGAAACAGCCTTCTCTACCATGCCCTGGCTGACCCTTGGCAGCAGCCCGTTTGAGAGGTGCAGCTCAGGGCCAGCCTGTAGTAAGAGACAGCCGTTTATTAAAGCTGAAATCATCATTGTTCCAGGGATGTGATTTAGAGTGGAAGCCAAGTTGTAAAAAAAAGCAAATTCGTGTGCAACGTGGGTGCATTGCAAAAAAACCTCAAGTGTGTCTCAGCTATAGATTTTTCAGCACTTGCAAACTCTCACTGCATTGCAGCACCCCACAGGAATGTTCAGCCTGAGAAGTACACCTAAAGCAGTGGTTCCCCACCTTGGGTCCCTGGGTGTGGTTGGACTAAAACTCCCAGAAGCCTTCAACACTAGCTGTGCTGGCCAGCATTTCTGGGAGTTGTAGTTCAAGAACATCTGGGGACCCAAGGATGGGAACCCCTGCTCTAAGGGCTTCTACTGATGGATTTTCTGAGATGTTTTGCCTTAAATTTATTTATTTAATTTATTTATTTGATTTTTATCCCGCCTATCTGGACCAACGGACTACTTCCCAGTATGTTTTAGCAGTGTAGGCATCTAAAAGCATTGATCACAGGGAAGAATTTTTACAGAACGTAGCTAAATTACACTTTTGGACTGGGATCTCCCATAATCTACCAGACATCTTGAAGACCTTCCCAACTCTTAAAGACCCAAGTGCTGAAGGCCAGGTGGGCCTGGGGACAAGAGACGCACCTCCCCGTTCTCTCTATGTGATCGGGTCTCTCCGATGGGGATGCCTTCCTGTTCAGAGCAGAAGCGAAAGAGGAATGCACCCTGTGCACTCTTTATTGGGAGCGTGAACCAACACTACTGGGTGACGTTCCGGTTGAAAGATTCCCCTTTCGGGAAAACTGCTCCAATGTCCAGTGAAGCCTCCTTTAAACAGGCACCTCTCGTCCCAAATTGGCGAGCCAAAGTTTATCTGGGAAGCCACCTGCCACTGTAATTCCTCCCAATGTCACAGGATGATACCATGCTGGCTATTTCAGGTCATGGTGGGCCACTGATCATGGTGAGCAGCTTCTCAGACCTTTTGAGTTAGGAACGACACATACCTTGCAATTTTTCTCCTCCCTCTTTATCTCCCCTTCCCTTTTCCATCCCAGCCACCTCTCTACTCAGGCCAGGTCTGCATATGTAGCACGGTGACTGGATGGTGAGAGAATCCTGAAGCTACTTCTAGAGATTGTAGCCCATTTAATTGTGTTGGGGAACACCTTTTGAGCATTCTGAATAAACCTCCAGACATCAAAAATCCAAGCTAGCATGTCAGGGAGAAGTCAGCTTACTCCCTGGTGCACTACATTTCTACTTGCAGGATACATTCTATTTACTCTTTGGCCTCAAATGAACAAAGCAGTACTGAACGTGGAGGGACACGACTCATTCCATGCTTAGAAGAGACGAAATCTCAGGAGTGTGAGCTTTCCGGCAAAGTTGCCTTTGTAAATCCTCTGCAAAGCACTTTAATAGCAAGAATGAGGATAATGATAATGATAACTACTTTGGCAGCAGCCCGCCCGCTTTCCTGGCTTCTAAAGAACGATTTTGTGTAAAATGCAAGGTGCGTAGGTTGCCAACTAATCAGATTCACAATGGGGCCTGTGCTTGTTCCTTCAGTGGCACGAAGATCTGCAGGAACGAACGTTTGGAGCTTTACTGGGGAAAAGAGATAAGCCGGTTTTATCTGCAATCTGGCAAAACTTGATGGCACCTTGAGGACTAAAAAGTTTTATTCAACGTACGCTTTTGTGGACTGCGTCATCCAAAGCTGTTAGGCAAAAACAAATAAAACAAAAATCACCAATTGTTAAACTTTAAGGACTCACAAGAATGTATTCTCGAAGGCTTTCACGGCGGGATCTGATGGTTGTTGTGGGGTTTTTTGGCTCTTTGGCCGTGTTCTGAAGGTTGTTCTTCCTGACGTTTTGCCAGTCTCTGTGGCCGGCATCTTCAGAAGACTGGAGTAGGAACACAGCATGGACAGAGTTTCTACTCCAGTCCTCTGAAGATGCCAGCCACAGAGACTGGCAAAATGTCAGGAAGAACAACCTTCAGAACACGGCCAAAGAGCCAAAAAACCCCACAACAACCATCAGATCCCGCCGTGAAAGCCTTCGAGAATACATTCTTGTGAGTCCTTAAAGTTTAACAATTGGTGATTTTTGTTTTATTTGTTTTTGCCTAACAGCTTTGGATGACGCAGTCCACAAAAGCGTACGTTGAATAAAACTTTTTAGTCCTCAAGGTGCCATCAAGTTTTGCCAGATTGTAAAGTCCTACCTTGTTATACTACTTATCGGGCTAAATCCAACAGTTAATTCTGACTGGAGCAGAGCCACTGAAATCATTGGGATTTACACAGTAATCATAACTGCATGCTCTCAAGTCATGTCTGACTTACGACAACCGTTTTCAGGGTTTTCTAGGTAGAGAGTACTCATAAGTGCCTTCTGGGGGTGCCTTGGGACTGTGTGCAGCTTGCCCAAGGCCACCCAGGCTGGTTCTACTTGCAGGAGGCACACGGGGGGGGGGATCAAACTCCCAACCTCTGGCTCTTCAACCAGATGCTTAAAACCATTGAATGATCCAGCCAGCCATTGGTCACTGACAAGTCCCATTGGGTCTACTCCAGTTGAGACTAACCATTGGATCTGGACCTTAAATGCTTTGCTCCCCAATTCAGTGATGTAAGCACATTTCTATCTTACGTTTTCATCTCTGTCTTGGAAAAGCTGGGCAACGTTTTTCCTTCAAATGGGAATTCCTGAGCCGTAATGATATGGCCACGGTTGTCCCAAAGGGGATCTGAATTAACGTCAAGTTACTCTGAGACTGGAAGTAACATTACAAGCAGCTCATTGTGCCCATCCCGATGACTGCTTCCCTGTTGTAACCAAAGTTCTTGCTGCCCTTTTAACATCACCATCATCCTATCCAAGATAAACACTATTAAAATGCCACTATGCACAGCGAGTCTTCAGGTTTCAATGCCGGAGTAACATCTTCCATAGCATCCCTTCCTGCTCTGCAGTTCTAAGATGGTGATGATGATGATTTCTGACAAGGTGCCCCTCTGCAT